AAGAAATAGGCTACTCTGGGAGAAGGCATACTGATAACGTTGAGGCGGGGAAGCCAGTCCCAGCCACCGCTATACCATGGGAGAGATTAGGGAAAAAACGGCGCGCGCTGTTTCGAATTAAAACTAAAACTGCCGATAAACTAAAACACATGTGTTATTCACCGATGGTATTCTTAATGTAAATTAAATTTCCTATCAAACGGTCTAATTTATTTTTGAGAACATTATTATTTATTATTTACTATCGAAGCTCAAGGTTAGCATAATTTCCCTTGGTTTTGAACATATGATTACTTTAATTACGTTTTTGAAAAAAACATTATTTATCTATACACACTAACAATGTATTCGTGTTCCCTAAGAGTTTCTCGAAATAAGAATAATATATATGAGATACATACGAGATCCGGTATTTGATTGGAATATTTAAAAAAGAACTTAAATAACTTTTATTCATATTTATTTTTTTTAATAGAAGCTTACTAAATTTAGTTTTAATGAAAAATTAAATTTTGATAGGCTAGTGAAATAAATATTGAATTAACATTCCTTATCATTTTCTTATAATACAATTTGTTGCTAGTTTTAAAGCATTTATGTACTAGGCAAGTAATTTGAAATAGCCAAAGGTCAAAAGAAAATTCAAAGCCGCGCTCACTTTTATTACACTCACAGCACAGCACTTAAATTAAATTAAATTACGAACATCAAAAGTAAAACATTTTCTTGGCCATTAAACTCTCATTTTTTAAATTTTGAGCCATATTTGAGAATTTGGTGTTAAGAAATATCAAATAAACTTCGAGTAAAAAGTAAAAAAATTCAGTTCTCGCGTCCTTTGACACCTTATTGCGTTTATCATCATTTTTATAGTGTTAGAACTTTTTTGACTTCTTTTTACGAAAACAAATTTCAAATATGATTTGAGATTGGAATTATGAATTAGGAATAATCAATAATGAATGACACAATAGTAGTAGGGTAAAAATAAAAACATGCCGTCATTTAACCATTGTGTTCAATATTAAACACATTAACTACTGTAGTCATCTTTGAATTTAATATTTGTTCATTAATATAATCTTCCTCTTAGGTTTCTAATATTGCAATTTGAATTTAGGTTAGTTGCATGTAGTTAATATGAATGTAGTTATTATTGCATGATGTAGTTTTAGTTATAAATACTTGACTCATATTTCAGTAACTAAATCTGTAATACGACATTCTAACGGTCCTGATTGAGTATTAGTTTGTGTTTTGGCCTTAAAAAATGTTATATGCATGTCTATCAACACCGTACCTCCCCCCCTACTAGACGGAATCTATAAATTAAGTATCGTTGAGCCATTCGTTGGGCTGGCTTCAACGAAACTTTATCGTGTCCCCTCCTTAGTACATATCCTACTATTTACGGAGAGGAAGGAAAATTCATTTACGCGCACAGGTGGCCAACCTGTAGTGTGAGACTCCTGAGAGGATCAGACTACTTACTAAAAACCCCTCGACTCTGTTGGACTCAGACCTGGGATTGTTTGTCACATTTCATCAAGTCAGGCCAACATGTGACCTAAGCCCTAGGGCTCCCACTGTTTCCGGCACTCTGTTATTTTATAACCTAGACCACATCTCGATCAAGGTCGATCTTCTTGGCGCGGAGTATACCCTGGACGAAACGTGACACACAGGTCCAATTTTCTTCACCCTTCGCCATCACTGGGATGACCGTGTCCACCGAAACCAGTCCTACGTTGTATTGAGCCTCCAGGTGAAGCCTTTTCTGACGCGGACAGCAGAAAAAGTGTGTTCCACGTCATCGGTAGTGCTTGAGCAGTAGAAACAATCGGGTGACACAGCTTTGCCCATCCTGAACAGGTACGACCAGAAAAATCCGTGACCGGTCAGAAATTGGGTTAGGTAAAAATCTACCTCGGCGTGCCTCCGATTTAACCAAGGTTGGACTTGCTGAATCAGTCGCCTGGTCCAGTGTCCCCACGTCTCCTGTTCCCAGCCGGTAGGTACGGACACACTACTCGTTTCTTGCCTGGTCCTCTACACGCCGCTGTCAGCGCCCGCTGATATATTGCCTTCCTCTCTGCTGCCAAAAGTTTGACGGGGATGACTCCAGCAATCACCAGGACGGCGGGTTCGGACACTGTTCGGTAGGCGGATGCAACTCGCTGCCTGACGCTGCAATCGGGGGAGCCGCATCCTGTACACCTCTATATTGAGTTCATCTGCCCACACTTTCGCACCTTACAGGAGTACGGACTGGACAGCAGACATCAACAGCCTTCTGCAGCTGGACCACGGGGTAACCTCTGACATTGGACATTAACCAGCTAAGGGAAGAAACCACCTTAGCGGCCTTGTCCGCCGTACGGATGATCTGGTCTCCACCAGCTGAGCTTGCTCTCCACCATGACCCCAAGGCGGTATTTGGTGGCACGACGAGCAGTTTGGGACTTCAACGTTCCCCACCTTCAACACGATGGTGTCAATCCTCTTTTTAGTCAGAATCACAATATCAGTTTTGCTCAGAGCGAGCAAGAGACCGTGATCTGCCATCCATGCCTTAATGGTGTGCATGACTAAATTTAGTTTCAGTTGGGCAAGCTCAACGCTACGTGCAGCTATTAAAGCTGCAACGTCGTCTGCATACCCAACAAAGACAGTTTCTTCGGGCATCTCATACCTCAGGAGGCTATTTCCCAACTCCTCAAGACTGGACAGCGGGACTTTGTCCACTCTTCCGAACTCCCGGAATGGGCGCAGTGGGTGAGTCAGGAAAAGGGACTTAACTATTCCATGATGGAAGGTGGAGAGCGGGTACCAAGCTTCTTGGCTATAATATATATAATAGATAATATATAATAATTAATAATATTTAATAGATAGTGCGGCGACGAATTATAGACTACTGTATCTACAAATATTATAATTGAAGACAGAAATTTATAGTTTATAATAATATTTATTTTATTGTATACTTACCTGATCAGAGAAAGAAAGTCCAACTTAAATTTTGTATTGTAGCAAAAAAATTTTAGCAATGGTAGTGCCCACCTGAATAGTCCTCAGGTAATTTTTTTGTTTTCGAAGGTAATTAACTCCTTGTGGTTGACAGTAGTGTCATTTCCTGCCATTTGTCGTTACCACCGTTCGCCGTTCCCGCTGTTCGTCAATCCCACCGATCGTCGTTCACGCCTTTTCTTGTTCCTGTCATCCCTATGCTTTACACTTCACCCCCCGGCACTCTCACCCACTCTTACCAAGTTAGATTCACTCAGTTCTCACTTAGTTACAGTACCCACGGTGTAGTTTTGTGTACTTTTGAGTGTATCAGTGAGTGTTTATAGATGTCACTGAGTGAACTTGACCAAAGTCAGATAGACAGATTTAGACTTTATTTCAACACAAATAAAATGTAAACTCTTTTTGTGTCCTTTTTACCTATGGGCCGGTTTCCGAGCTCGGGATTTCGCCAAGTTCTAGACTTTAACCGTCTTTAGACTCTGGAGTCAACAAAATGACTTTCCGAGTCAGGGCCTAAGCGAATTCCAGAACTTAATAGACTCTGGAGTTTATTTGGCTGGTTGAACTCAAATCAAATAAAATCAAATCTGGAGTTTAAAATTTGACTTTCCGAGTGAAGAATTTATAGATCCAGGACTTAACTTAGATTCTCATCTCTTTCCGAGTCAAGGATTTAGCAAAAATCTAGGGTCTAAAAAGGTACGATTTTAGATCCTCGCCAAGGGCAGAATTTAAAATTAGATCCTAGACTTAACAGAGTATAAACACCTCAGTTGTTGTTTTGAAGTCGGTTTGTGCGCATGGTTATCATGGAATACCTATATAATTTGGATTATGGTCGTTTACAAGCACCACAACGTAGACCAAGGCATCTTGGTCACGCACTTAACACATTTTTTGTGTTATATGATGAAGAATTTCAGGATAGATTTCATCTTTCAAAAGATAACGTTTACTGTCTCCAGGATTAAGAGTGTATAATGAAAGAGCTTCACACAGCATTCCGAAATGGAAACAAGTGTTGATTGAGCTGAGTTTTTTTTTCATTATCATACCATTGGGGGTCGTGTTGCATTATCATACCATTGGGAGTTCTGTTTTATTATCAAACCGTTGGGGGTCCTGTTGTATTATCATACCATTGGGGGCTCTGTTGTATTATCATACCACTGGGGGTCCTATTGTATTATCAAACCGTTGGGAGTTCTATTGTATTATCAAACCATTGGGGGTTCTGTTGTATTATCAAACCATTGGGGGTCCTGTTGTATTATCATACCATTGGGAGTTCTGTTTTATTATCAAACCGTTGGGGGTTCTGTTGTATTATCATACCAATGGGGGTTCTGTTGTATTATCATACCATTGGGGGTTCTGTTGTATTATCATACCATTGGGGGTCCTGTTGTATTATCAAACCGTTGGGAGTTCTGTTGTATTATCATACCATTGGGGGTCCTATTGTATTATTATACCATTGGGAGTTCTGTTGTATTATTATACCATTGGGAGTTCTGTTGTATTATTATACCATTGGGAGTTCTGTTTTATTATCAAACCGTTGGGGGTTCTGTTGTATTATCATACCATTGGGGGTCCTGTTGTATTATCATACCATTGGGGGTCCTGTTGTATTTTCAAACCGTTGGGAGTTCTGTTGTATTATCATACCATTGGGGGTCCTGTTTTATTATCAAACCACTAGGGGTTCTGTTAATTGTATTATTATACCATTGGGAGTTCTGTTGTATTATCATACTATTGGGAGTTCTGTTGTATTATTATACCATTGGGGGTTCTATTGCACAATCAAACTATATTTACAATTGCCACAGTAATCCAGTATAAAAAATCATGGAGGCTTTTATTTTAAGTATTTGATTTTCATAAAACATTCTTTCGATATGCATCAAAGTGTAAACACATGTAGCAAGTAAGCAGGTTAAAATTTAAAAAAAAGTAAGATATACATATAAATATATCTTTTTAATTCAAAATTTACAAGAATAATAGACAATTGATATGGACATTTACTGTACTACATTGAAGTAGCAGTATATTATTATTATTATTATTATTTGGTTGTCTTTAAAAGAATACTTATATAAAATACAATCTTTCAATATATATAAATATAAAACAAAATTATAACCATTTAATATAACAATAAAACAAAGCTTGTTTTCATAAAATATAGATTTAGTGGCCGATTAAAATCAGCCTCAGCTTGCTATGTTTCTTCATATTTACACATTACTTACACTTAACTAGTATTCCCAATAGAAGCTTTAAGAACTAGTATAAAAATATATTCTCTATGTTAGAAAATTCAAAATACTCTTTTATACACATAAATACAACTGGTATATTTTATACAAGGCTGAATGAGACATGTGATGTTAATACCTTGCATGCCATTTGACCACCTCTATACTCTAAACTCGAGACAATGTACAATATACAAACCAAGTAACAGACAATACAATGTTTGTGCGGTTCAGTAGAAAGGGAACATTTCATCTACATAACCGAGTCCTTAACATACTACATAACAAGTTTGGAAAATAAAGAATGTCCGAGATATAATAACAACACAGTCCCACATATTTAACTAGTCTCAACAAGTCTGACATTACTTATCAAGCTCAAAAACCTTTGAGTAATGTTAACATTAGACAAAGTGTAACGTGCATTACACAAGTGCCTTATGCTTGAATGTGAGTAATATTGTGTATAGGACATAACAGCAAACCTTAACAAAATATATTAAAATCTAAATTATACCACAGTAGTTGTCCAAGTTCTTAGTTACTCAAAGCACAATTTTAGGAGATATAATAAAAAGAATAATGCGATAAGTCATAGATTGCAAGCAAACAAACAGTTAGAAGTTATATCTGCATATAGAAATATCATATAAACTTTCATAGAGATATTAGAACAGTTTGCTCGCTACAAGCCGGATTTATCTACAATATTTAAGTCTTATCTAAAAAATACTAAGCACATAGAGTCACTGTGATATATAACTCAACATAAATGCATGTAGTCTTTTGCAGAAAAAATTAACCCATACGTTATTAAGTTAAATCACACTAATACAAAGTAGTTGGAATGTATGAAATAATGCTGTTAAATTATTATTTCTTCAAGTAAATGTAGTGGTCATCATGCCCTTCATATAATTCTTGCGCAGAGATTTGTATGAAGGTGTGGACTTGAAGAGATTCTCTGGTTTATAGTTGGACCTACTTCCTCAGGGGATCTAAACTCTCCAAAGAAAAGTCTTCATTCCCAAATGAAAGTCCTCGGCTAAATCCATCCTATAACATAAAGCCCACATAAAGTAACGGTTTAACACAAGATAATTATTAATTAATTATTTGATAAGGGCTTTTCTTTGTACAGTATTATTCCGCTAATTTGGTATCCAATACTAAAGCAAAATACAATAATTCAACATAAGTATATTAGGATTAATTGACCTGGTAGGGCTATGAAGACAATGTTTTCTCGATTTAGGTAGGTTCGGAAAAGTAGGTGGGCAAACAGCCCAGTCGAGCATACTGGATGATAACCAAATAACACACGAAAGTTGCCTGATACCTATAAAAAGCGCATTTAACTCTCTATTTCATCAGTATTTCTGTCGTTATTGCAATAAAAGCTATTCATAGACAATGCTCAGTAATCTGGGGCTGCCAACGTCTCAAACATTCAGGATAAGGGAGTATCCACAGTGCTTTATATTTATCCTACCAAATCAGGGCTGGATTTCTCTTAGACGGACACATAGGTTGCCAGGGATCTCGTCCTGGGAGGGCTCCTCAAAGGAAATTCTTTTCTCTTTAAAAATGAATTTCACCGATAATTTGTTAAGGGGTTTGATTTTTAAGCAAAACTTTTACTGTCGCTATCATCGTAATCGTCTGAAATATTAAAGATTTAAAAAAATCACAACTAAAAACACTTTATAGGCCTACACAATTTTCCAAAGAGAACCAGTAAGTATAAGATACATATCGGTGACATGAAATTCAGATAATTTAAATCATATTCACAATTAAAATTATCATTACAATGAAAATTGGAACAGTTTTTCCATACTAACTCAGACCCAACGTATCTACTGCATTGATAAAACTGGTAAACCCAAATCCCACGCACAGTAATTGCATACACAGGTGGTGGCAAGTGTGAGGTATTGCTTTCAACCATTTTTCATAAGTTATAAAGATATTCAATGATTCATTGTTTAGTGGAAGTTTGGAAATGTTATTCTTGTCAATATCCTTGTCAAATATCCTTGTCCTTATCCTTGTGTATAATTGTCCTTGTCAATATCTTGTCTTGTCCTTTGAAGCTGTAAGAGCTAAAATAACCATTACAGTAGAGTGTCGATTATCAAAAGTTCATCCAATCATCCAAAACGTAGTTTAACTGAAACACCGTTAACCGGTGTTGCTGAGATCGCAAGATATGCTCAAGAGTGTGGTTGTGATCCCAAGAATAACCAGTGTCGCCGAGAAAGCAAGATATGATCACAGTGTTACCACCTTTGCAGGAGACAATCACCGGTGTCACCAAGATATGCTCAAGATATAATCATAAATGTTGCTACAATCTCGAGAAACTATCAAAATTCGTCAAAAGTACTGTAAACACGTGTAAATTAAAATATTATAAAAGTCAAAATTGTGTATCTCAATTTACCGTCAATAACCTATTATCTAAAGAAATAAATTATCCGAACACAATGATTCACCAATTGTTTTTAATAATTGACTCTCTACTATACTACCGAATACTGAAACTAAAATGTGTTCTCTAAGCTTCACCTTCATTTCTAGTATTTTTCTGTCTAGTAGTCCGATGGCATTTTCAAGCTCAACTTGGGATGGCTCTGCCCCAGATGCATTAAAGTCTCCCATTCCGAACGGGTCAGAGTTGCTGTTTGGCATGAATGGTGAAGATCCAAATACATCAGCTGGAGGCCCTTGCTTGGGCACACTGCGTCTGGCGTTGACAGGCTTAGGAGGCGGCGCCACTGGAAGGGAAAAGCGATTTGTGAAATACATCATTACAAAAAAAACCAATTAAAATTCCATCTTTTTTGAGGCCCTTTAACAAGCTAACTTTAAAAGCATTTATCTATAATCTATATATTTACTAAATTATAATAACAAATTAAATTAGTTTATTTAAAATTTACATAGGTCATTTTGAGTGCTTAACAAATCTTAAACTTATTTAGGCGGTCATTGTATATTTTAAGTTCAAAATACAAGAACCAATCCCTTCTCTTATCTTAAATGTCAAATTTGAAAAATGGGGAAAGTATCTTGCTTAGTGCTGTCTTGAGAAATTGTCTCTCATATTTTTAACATGGGAAGTTGTTAGCTTCATATAAAAATGAGGAATTTTCTTAGCTATGAGTACATGACAATAGTCTTTCATGGAAAGAGGCCCATCTCTATAAGTGATATAGAACGTTGGTTTTAAGTTCAGACTAGAGGGCTCTGTGTACTTTGGAAATGGGAGAAGGAACTATGGGAGTGCACCCAACCGTTTTTCAAGCGGAGGTCATCGCTATTTTGGTTTGCACGGAAGAAAATCTCAATAGAGAGATCAGAGACAAGAGAATTAGTATATATATACTGGTAGTAAAGCAACTATAAAAGCTCTTATCTTGTATGAATTTTACTCTAAGCTTGTGTGGGGGGCCTATGTCGGAATGAGGTAGGAAGAATGATCTTACGCTTTGCTGGGTGCCTGGGCACTCAGGCATTGAAGGTAACTAAACCGTGGTTAGACTGGCAAATGTTGTCTCAGTGCCAACTGTGTTTGGTCCACAAACTTTCTGTCGTACCTCTTAAAAGTATGTGTGCGCCTTCATCACTTCATGGGCAGCGAAAACACCAAACACGATGGGCTGAAATGCCCCTTCTAAGAGTAAGTAAACTCGCTCTTCACTTGCCTTCAAAGCAGGTTAGGGCCGTATTTTCCTAACGTCAGACACAGCGGTTGCTGGGGGAGGGGGGGGGGAGCCTAGGAGTCTATTCTAGATAGTGTTGATCAAAATAATAGGCTTTAACACAAGTTTTAATTTGTCTAATGGATGTCCAACATGAATGAATATTTCAAATGAAATACAATGTAGTTAATATTATTGTGTTAAATAAATAATTGTTTGATTGTTTGTTTGTTCTTAAACTCACATAGAGGGGGAGGAGAAGAAGGTGGCAGTAGGATTCCGTTGTTGTTGTTTACTATGAAGCTTGGAGTTCCATTGTTTGTGTTGTTTTCACAAGCTCTGGGATTGAAATCTTCTTCAAGTTCATCCATCAGGAGTCCTTCTAGTTTAGTTCCTACTGTAGGCACAGTGTCTAGATCCCTGAAATTCATAAAACGTAAGAATAAGGTTAGACATATAGTGGTATTAAAAATAAACAATTAAGAAAACAATCAAATTATTCATGATGCTACTTATATTCAGCAAAAACCTTTGATTTCCATGTCCATTACGTCAGCTGAGAGATAACTTCTACAGAGGAAGAGGCTCCAAACAAAAACTTCCCAAAAGTTAGGTGATTATCAGGTGTGTATGTAATTTGTCCCAATAATATGGAAAAGAATGATTGGCCTTAGTTTATGTGTTGGTATAATGGAGAGATGTATTTTAATAAAATGTACAAACACCAAAGAGAGGGTTGGGTACTGCAACTGTTGGCATCATATATCTCACTAGACACCCAAGCCATAAATGATTGAATAAATTTTTTGCATTTACCTTTCTGTGCATTTTCACTATCTAACAAAAAATGGAAAATTTATATTGTAATAGGAACTTAAACCTAGTATGGAACATTATGGTCAGTAAAGTCTACTGGATTTAAAGCCTACTGTATCAATGGTGATTTTCAACAATAATGTTTTGTCTCCTTTTCCTATACTTGTGTTCATATTCTGAGCAAGGCCATGTATCTGATTATTTGAATGAACTAATTTGGGTTTGAACAACAGTGTTCCATTGTGTGAGCTGTTCACACTACACCTTTTATAGACTATAGTGTTTTGTGATTGGTTAATTTTTGCATGTTTTATCATGACTTGACTGCTATACAGTGCATATTTTTTTACTGCTACCCTCTGTAGTGTATTCCAACTTAGTTTTGTGTATTGTTAGTTGTAATGTGTTAGTTAAGTTTTTTTTTCACCTGAGGACAATTTCAGATTCCAGATCCTGAAACGTTGTGTATTGTTTTTTTTACCATCGTGATGGAAAATGTCTGCAATAAACCTTTGAAAGACTAAGTTAAACAGTGTATTTGTCTTCCTCTTTCCACAACCTCAAGGACTCTACTACTGAAGAAGGAGCTAGTAGCTACAAACATTTGAAGTAGTATGGGTTTATTAGTTCATGTTTATCTATTTCCGTCAGTAAGTTAAGCCTGTTGAAATTTGGTTGTTGTTGCCTTCTGACGATAACTGCAGACCATGCTGGAAAGTCTTTATCTTGATAAAAAACATATCTCATCCAGCTACATTCTTACTTTTCTTTCCAGGGGTCATTGAACACATTCTTGAAGTATTACTTGAATTGTAATTTTTAAGACAAGTAATTATTTATACTGAAGTTGTCATGCTTCTTTGTTTAGTTGAAGTGTTAAGTGACAAGTATTGGCTGCTTTCTATACAAGACTCAAGTGTAAAAACTTAGTCGATTCCTTGAATATATAATTTAATATAGCTTACTTGTGGAAGTTAGATTAATTGAAAATCTTTATGTACTATTTCAAGATAAGGTTTGACAGTCTCCTCATGTTTATAAATGTTACAACACCATTTATAAGATTTAATAAGTTGAGGTATGTGAGTTCATTGACTGTTCAGGTGTGTTGAAGCTCTTTGACTGTTTTAAGTCAGATCATTTGAAAATGTTTGCACTTTTATGTTGAGTTTTGTCAGTCACCGTCTGTTTGTATGTGGTATGCTATGTCGATTTAACATTTTGTAACATGTTTTTATTCGATAAGTTGGTATTCTTATTTCTACTCCATGATATTGTTATGCTACCCACTGAACGTTAATGGAAAGTTTAAGGATTTTAATAATGAAATCTTTTCTACTATCACTTATACCTACCCAATGAGGTCATTTTCTGGGAACGGCTTAGCTTCGAAGGACCTAGGAGGTACAGGAGGTGCTACAGTACTGGATCCATTGTTGAGACTTGTGGTGCTCAGGTTTAGCAATAGCATTGATCCTGCAGCAAAAACAGCACAATAAGAGAAAACAAACCTGAAAATTAGTATTTTAGTCTTATATGATTTGGAAGACTACATAAGTGTCTTTCCAGTTATAATGGTAAAAACATTTACAATATAACTCTTTTTTTTATTATTATTTGGTTTTTTATTTTTAAAGAAATTAAACTTTTGATATGAAAGTAAGCTGCACAATGACTAAAGGACAACATTAACTACTACATGACTAAAAAAGAGGTTTAACCAGTATAATTAACAAGATTTTAAATAGATTCACATAGTTTCACAGCATAATTTTAATTAAAAGATAACTTAAAGAATCCTTATTTCTCACTTGCCTAGAAACTAAGAAAGTGAAGCCTGGAAAATATGCAACAGTTCGTGCAAAGACAACAAATCTACACTCTGTGACGGTTCTAGGAATTTGTCAAGGGGGGAGGGGCTACCAAGAGTGTGTCTCACATCCTCCCCTTAGTATTTTTAATGATGTTTGGTGGATTTCAAAAGCCATTTTTAACGTCTAGAACTGTTTCCAAAAACCTCCGTTACGTTTTGAGGATGAAATGTATTTTTACATTTATCTTTCCAAGGTTCAATAAGGGGGGGGGGGGGGCTTTAACCCCTATAGCTCCCCTTGGGAACTGCCACTGCCTATACCAATAGATTGGCCTCAAGTCACATTTTTAAAAGTCTGGCAGCAAAGTGTTAAAAAATGTTGTATGTGAAGAGCTGAGGAGAATCTTTAACCAAGTTCTATCAAAAACAGACACTACACAAAGATAGAAATGTATTGTGGACACCAAAGAGACCACACAGCTATATAGCGTGGCAGGCTTTGAACTTACACCACAGCGATAGAAAGACCAAAAAACCTAAGTAGAGGAATAATAGAGAAATAGTTGAAGAGAAGCCAAAGTAAGATCAGTTGACGGAAACCCATGAGGCCATTTTATCAAGGCCCCATAGCCCACTTAGGAGCAAAAGGAGATTAGTCAAGTAAGTCATTGATGACCTGATTCAAGACACTCTTGACAATACTAAAGGATTGCAGAAGGGCTTTGTTATTGCCCTGAAAAGAGTTTGAAATATTTCACCACAATCTGTGAAATAGTTCCTGCATCCTGGAAAGACTAACATTTTGAAGAAGCAGCAAGCATTTAAATAGCAAGCAAAAAATACAACTGTAAAACTGTTAGTCGCAAACTGTTGTACCATCATTGGTTTTGACTAGTATACCTATCAGCGATGATCTAGTTTAACAGTATTGGATGGTTTGGTTACCATTGGTCTGTGAAGATGTGCCGTTGGATGTGGTTCCATTAGGGCTGTTGTTGGACTCCAAGGTCGGTAGAGAGTTGTTGTTGTTGTTTGTACGAACTTCTGTAATGTCCGATATACTGTTGTACCTGCAATATTCATCTACGTTCTGGAAAAAAAACATACCCAATTAATTAGGGAAGAATCAGAAAAAAAAATCACAGAATAAGAATACTTACGTTTTTTTATTAAAAACCGTTACAAACTACACAAAACTATTGAGGTTGAGAAAAAACTGTTTCACAAGCGTTTATAGCACAAAATAGTTTTAGGAGGTCTTTCAAAACAAGGCTATTTATTGAGGTACCTATTCATGTTTTTATAAAAAATTTATAGAATCATAGAGATGGACTAATTTTGTTAAGATTTAAAAACCAAGCCATTGACTTTCCTCTTAGAGCAGCTCTCTTACTGATGTGAAAGTAAGAAAAGTGTTTGCAAAGACTCTTTAACCTAAACCTATTCATAAGATACATTCACAGCTTTTAAAGACCCTACTTGTTTATTACATGGTAACTTGATAAAATAATAACTTCAATAACATTCATAGTTTGATTTTTGCTAATAAACAGGCAATGGCTTAATTTTTTATAGTACCATAATTTAATGTGTTATCACTTCATAATTACAATTAGTTAGGTGAAGAATGAAAAAATGTGTTCAATAATTGTAAAAACTAAATATTACGGCCAGTGGCAGTTCTAGAACATTGTAAGAAGGGGAGCTACCGGGGGTGTTCCACATCAGGAGGGGGGTCCGTGGATCCTCTCCTGGATTAAAGCCATTTGTAGACTTTTTAAAGCCATTTTAACGTCTAGAGCGGTGTCCAAAAACCTCCGTTACGCTTTAATGTCAAAACGTATGTTTAAATTAAACGTATATATCCAAACCATTTTTAATTAATTTTACTGAGACGTGATCAGTGGTGGTTCCAAGTGGGACCACCACTGATCACGTCACAGTAGAATTAATTAAAAATAATTTGTTAAGGAGAAAGGAAGGATACACAACTAACTCACTTGAATAAAAAGTCCCAGGAGGTTAATAGAACACATTAAAGTAACACATTAAACTGATATTTCGTCCCTTTTAGGGGTTTCTTCGGAGGCTTGAAGAAGTGCGAGCGATCCTAGTGATCCTAGCCGGCGCTCATTTCGGCAACAAATTTCTAGTCTGACTATTCTCCATAAGCATTTCGCTTCTTAAAGGGTTTGTATTCATTGTTGTAACCTAAACTAAAGCAGAATAGTTAACACCTTTTCCTTATTCAATAATTTGATCCCTTAGAGTAAAAAAAAAAACGATATGTCATTGCTTTGACTCTACTTAAGCAGTGGTATGGTCGTAAATTTTTCAGTGCGGAAACGCTCATGATCTTGGTAAGAACTTAAGTATTAAAATATAGGATTTTGGAAAAAGTAGAGTGGAAACGCCGTTGCCACAGATTTCGGTCCCACAAAACAACTGTACTTAATTAATCCTTAGGCATTGCAATGTTGTTATTTAATCCAACAAAAGTATTCTTCAAGAATACTAGCTTTTACTAGGCGTCGTTACCAGGTCACACGCCTATACTAGCACCTATATATTTAAGTATCTAGTAATGTCAGTCATTAGGTCTGATGGGTGGTCCAAAGCATTTCTGCCTGGTCAGAATGTTATCTAATAACTCTAATAAGCAACCTGATTGTGGATGGTTAACCTCTCTATGGCAAAGTTGAAAGGAAACACACACTAAAAAAATGGCTTGACTACTGAACTTTTGTGAGGACTCTTGAATGGATGGGTGGATTATTTATCAATTCCTATCAGATCACACATTTTGCTACTCTTTACCTTACTCAATCCTTATTTGAAAATTGTCAATTTTTATTCTAGTACTAGCTGTTGCACGTCGGCTTCCCCCAACATACTTTTCAGTTTTATTATGAACTGGCTGAAGTTGTGACTTCACTATGGGCTAACATGACCTTTTACGTGATTTTTCTGTTAGTAACAGTTATTAAGGATTGAATTCATTCTCAATAGCCTAATCGCCTATAGCTAATTAGACATATGGGACTACTGAAGTCAAACTAAGGAAGAAATTCTTTGTTTGAAATATTAACTGCCTTTCTACCAAAAGCTTCGAACTACTCTCTCAGGAACAAAATCGTAATGTTTTTTACCAAGTCACTACTGTTTTATCTCAGTTAATAAGGATTAAATTTAAGTTAATATATCTAGAAAGATAAATAATAAATAGAAAAGTTTGTTTTGACAGGGGCAAACATTTAAACATAATATCTGATTCAGCTGTCATGATTTTATTTTTTTTTTTATCAATCATGATCAAAATCTGTTGGAAATCGGGTTATCATGCTTGCTTTAATTTCACCCTGTATTAATTTTTAACAAAATCTATTACTAGGTATTTTACTTTAGGTTGGCTAGTGGTAAGAGCAAGAACTAAAAAAAAGGTTTATGATTGGAAATTGTTTAATGTTTTTATGAAGTTACAGGTTTTATTCCGTCCAGCTACCGTACCCGTGCTTTGCAACAGGCAAAGCAAAACAAAAAAAAACAGTGCTGCAACCTTTTGGTAATTTTTTTTACTTTTTAATGCTATCGAACATCATAGAATTCAACTTGTTGGTTGATTTGAAACAGCTGTCAATAATACTCTTTTTCTTTTTTAATATTCTTCCAAAATCCCTCACATGGGTACCTTTAAGATGGTCTAAGGGCTAGGCCCTGAACGTTATCACAAAATTGATGGTATATAAACCTATTCCATGAAATTGTACATATGTATGTAGCAAGTTTCGTGGCCATCGGTCCAGCGGTGTCTGGGTTTATCACCGCCAAAAATATATACAAACAAACATCCTCTTCTATCCTTATAGAAGATACAGGAAAATTAATAAAATAAGAATTAGAATCTAAACAAATTATGATTCAACTAATTTATGAGTCATTTTACGAGGAAAGGTTGAACAAATTTTAATACGTACTAGCTTGACTACAAATCTACCAATATTCTCTGATGAAGGGTCGAGTGTTTTATTAAAATAAAACATACTTTTGTAGTAGACATCAAATTTAACTGGTACAATTATGTCTGTAAACTCAAACTTGATTTGTTTAAACTCGGCAGTGGTTTAAAATACCTGTATTTGTCCATTGGCAAATTCTTTGAGTCTCTGTCGCAGAACAGTGTTTTCAGCTTCCAATCTCTTGACGTTTTGCTGCAGTATGATAAGTCTTCTTTGAACTTCCAAATCTCGTCCTGAGGTCTCCAGGAATCTCCTTTGCAGATATGTGTACAATTTTATTATAGCATCCAGATAACCGATAAATATTGAAAAAATGTGTAAATACCTGCTGATGATAATCCATAAATTTCTCTCTGCTGATAAAAACATTAAAACTAAAGTCTTGAGCAGAAAGTGACAAATGTTAGACGTCTGAGCATTGCACCACTATTGTGCATAAAACAGGTTTCAAGTACAATCTAATGATGACCATAAGCAGATATTTATACCATTTTAGAGAAATGTTTATAAATACAACTAAAACAAAAATATACTTACTGAATGCTTAACAGAAAAACATATTTTTTAATGGGTTTAGTGGCATATTTTAACCTTACATTGTCATCAGTAATCTTGAGCTGGTGCGTTGAGTGTATCAAGCAGAGCAAAAAGTAAGGTGGTAAAGAAGAAGAATAAAGAGAATATAATGTACTGAACAGATCAATTGTTAGAGGCAGCACCAGAACATGAACCTGTGACATTGCTGTCATGGTTCTGTAGTTGATTGCACAACTAACTAAGCCTGTGTTGTACATACCTGTGGCAATGATAGGTGTGACTAATGTGCTAATAGGTCTGGCCAGTAATGGTTACTGTGGATTTTGATATCAACCAGTGTTAAAACTTTTCACTCTTTTCAGAAAAATAGCTGTTATAAAATTCAGTAGCGGCTGGTGTTCATAGATGGTGGGAGGGATCTCCATATTTTAATATATAAACGAAAGCCTAACATCATTCACGTTAGGCTTTAGAGAATTCAAAAATAAGTCTTAAGTGAATTTAATTATCCAATGTTTGATATATTTAAGCTGTATATTATTTTAAGTACTCGTTAAAGTAATTTTAATTTAATTTAACTGAAGAATATTACAATGTAATTTATTTATGTAATGTTGGGAGGGCGGCGTCCGAGAGTCCTTATGGGCTAGCCGCCACTGGTAAAATTGGATAGGCAATTAGATGGTATTGTGTCGTTATCACTATCATATGGATTTATTTATCATATTATGAAGAGTTTTCGAGTCCAGGGAAAGTTCTCCTCGCCTAACACAACTATCTACCCTTTGTTGTTTCCTGATGGTGGACCTATAGCTTGAAACAGGCTCCAAACCACAAAGGTTTAACATTACCACATAGCTTAAGTCTTTGGTATTTGGTTGGATTCGAACCTGAGCTTCTTTGACAAAAGTCTCAAGCTTTAAACACAATACAGTATCAGCCATGACTGTGCCATGACATGGAATGATGCCCTCTGAATTAATTCTTTGTACCAACATCAAAGCTAGTGATCCCCTACTTAAAAATCAATTCTTCATTACTGCGTTGACTGTGACACATAAAGAGACATATTGTAAATAAGTTTGAAAGTGGAACAAAGGTGAGTTTAACAACCTGAAAACAAACTACAATCGAGCTATAAAATCTTTAGGGAAGAAAATTAGTGTTTTGTTGATTTGAGGCAAGTATCCAAAGAAAAAGTAAGTGTGGAAAGTATGAATGGAAGTATGTTTCTGTTAAAGTGGTAAAATGTACGGTAAACATAATATAGCTAACTAGTGAACTAAGTGAACTAATATAACCTGTGTTATTCTCATAACCATGACTTTTAGCCTAATGCTCTCACAAATGTTAATATAGACAGTACAAAAAGTAAAACTAATCTAATCTTCATGAGCAGGAATTTAAATACTCTTAGTCAAAAAGACCCCATGGTTGAAGAAAAGGTAAACTAAACAGATTGTTATAGGAAGATCATACAAACATTTAACCATTGTCCATACTAGTAACAAATCCTACACTCGAATACGAGATATGTCTGTTTGTAAAATTTATCTTTAAATCTAGCAGAAGGATTTTGACTAAATCTTGGATCTAGGAACTTGTAGGTCTAAAAACTTAATTGGTTACACAACTCATTTGAAAATTAAAAAAATTAACATTAGTCTTATGGGTAGCTAAGTAGCCAAGTAGGTTTTATAAAATAACAAGGAAACATTAAACAAAAGACTTCTAACATATGTTCGTTGCAAGTCATTCACAGTACACTAGCAAATTACAAAATACAGTACAAGGGGGAAAACATTGGACTCTATGTTAATCTCTTATTGTTAAGGGCAAATTTAACAGCTTTTGATTCACTCTTTTTTATAGTTCACATTTGTACAGCTGGAAGATAATTTATTGTAAATATGAAATGTGTATGTTATCATATTATTTCAACTATTAATCCCAATCATTCACACGGTTAACATAAATTAGAATATGAGATCATCAATAATTATTAAAGCTAAAATTATTATAATCAGAGATTTTTTCATATTTTTTTATGATAATACTTAGGATGGTTATGTTTGGTTATAATTCATGCTTTAAAAAAATAACAAAACGTTTAAGAAATCACTGATGTGCTTCTCTTAAGTCTTTGCTAATCTTTATCTAATGACTTTGAGGTCATTCAGCCAGTCAAATGTGAATGGAATCACCTGGATAGTGTTTCAAATTTGGAGTTAGAAAATCATTTCAACAATAATGTACATTATTACTTCGATTCTAACCTGCCGTTAATTCATTTTATCGGAACATTCCATCCTGGTATAGACATCGGTTAAATGTATTTTTGTGCTTCCTATCACAAACTGGCTTTGGGGTCTTTTTGACTTTGAAAGTCCATAGATTACGGTGAGTTTAGAATTATACTGTAATATGAGTAAATGTAAGTTACTTACTTGTAAGCCAGATCGAAAGCCTGTCCAATAGTGAGTGTTATTTCTTCCGCAAGGTTCTTACTGACAAAGACGAAGCAGGAGTGCTGTTCGTTGTCGCCTGACTCTTTTGCAATGAAGCTGAAGAACTTCTTTTCGCCCTTGTCATCTGCGCAGTAGGAGATACGGTGAAGAGGGTACTGGTGAAGAATGCGTTTGGTTTTGGGCTCCTGTATCGCAACACCATCTATACTAATCGTTAGTTCAACTTTTGGAATTTTGGAACCTTCTGATTTACGAAGCTGATGGTTGAATTTAAGTTTTCTAATTCCTTCCTTCACAACTTCGATTCCTTTTGGCTGGTCGACTTCAGTGTTGCCCAAAAACTGAAAAAAAGAAAAATATATTGACCTAAGGGGCTAAAACTGAAACCGACAATATTTGTTTACTCTTGTAGCGTATAAATGAGCAAATGACACTGCTTAAGGAAAGATTATGAATATTTTAATCTATTTATGATTTTCTATAATTTATCCAAACTCCTTGGCACATCATAGCAGGAAATCAATTTTTATGCGTTACACAGTAGCGATTAACTATTTACTTCATAAAATGTATAACAGAGTTAATCTCAGATATTTTTTATGATGCAAAGTCATATGTTAGATTCTTTACCTTTAAATAAAGAGAGACTGAATACTTAATCATTACCGGTACTTTATCTAGTTCCCACTGTACTTTGAATAGCACCCCAACAAAATATATAATGATATTTAGTCAGGTGAAAAACAAAACACAAAAATACTGCTAACTATACACAAAACTGATTGAGTCAGATTTTTTTAGAATATTAGAAGTTTGATACAAAATCTAAAATAATACTGGTATGAAAATACTAATCCCTGTAATAAAAGAGAATGGAAATTTATAGGGGAAAGATTACCTTGACTAGATAAGCAATGTGCCCCTTCTGCAGAACTTCTGGTTGGTGAATCCAGTTGCGGTTTTCTAAAAAAGAACATTTTATGGTTAAAATCTATTTTTAGAAATTTGAGGAGCTGATCATTCAAAAAAATAAACAGAAATTTAATGGTTCTCTGAAAACCTCAAAAATATTTGGGATTTACCTAAACCTCTAAATACCAACTAACTTAACTAAGGTAATAAATTATTTCAAATAATAATAGACAAAATAATAAGAAGAATTATGAAACAAAACTAGTATCAAACCACAAAATGATTTAATATTAAATTATAAGATACAGTAGAGTCTCCTCGATGTCTCAATAGTCAAACCTAGACTAATCAGGGCAAAATCTGATAACACTGAAAATAATAAAACCCATTCTTGCCATGCAAGAAATCAAAAACATGAGAGGAAAGTTTAGACGTCTAAAGAATAGAGGTCTTTAGTTATGAGGCATAAACAGTAGTATGCAGGACTACAACCTTAAAAGAAAGTACATTCAAGTGCAGGTGTGAAATGAATGCATGGGGCATTACAGACAGGGGCGGCAAAAGAGGTTGTGTCGATGTATATGCTATTGTACCTAGTCACACCACACGTAATTACTAACTATTAATTAGTATTTGATTTCACAATACCCAATTATTTGCAGGGAGGATTAGATAATCAATAGAGTACAGATTTTTTCGTCCTAAATAGCAAGTATCTTAGAGTTTTCAGTTATGATTCATCGTCCTACAACAATTTTCCAAACCAAACAATTTAAAATATGTACCTATTAAACTGTATTTTAAACAACCAGCAAACTGAACATCAAGTTGAACTATTTGTGTCCTAAGTAAAAGAATAAACATATTCATTTTACAAAAAGATGTATGGTCAAAAATGAAAAGGATAATGATTAACTAATTATAAAATCTTAGCACGATGCTGAGATCATGATGAGCGGAGGATGAGGTGGTGGTAATTTATCTCATAATGAAAATATGGCAATCAAATTACCTTTGTTAAACTCTAGTCCCTCTGATGACTTAGCACTTAGATAACTAGCTTGGAGGACCATGAAAACGCTTAGGGTTATTGTACTGAGGTATTAATATGGTTGTGGCCATGGCTTTACACAAGTTTATCTCAAAAGTGTTTGGGATAAGAATGCATACTTCTTACCTATTGGGCAAGCATTAATCCATTAAGTTTATTCATTAAGTGTTTAGTTTAAGATGCAGCAAATAGCTACCATTCCATGAAATGCCGCCATTAAATACACTCCTATAACACTACCTTGAAGGGTTACGAAATTAGACATTGAACGTAACTTTTTAACTCAGGTTAAAATGGTTTGTCAAACAAATCCTAACCGATTCAGGGTAAAATATCCGGGTAAATGATTCATCGTGCTTTGTTAGGGGAAAAAATAACCCAATAATTAACCCATAAAATATCAACATAGCTCACTCGTCCATAGCTACACACTTGGAATAAACAAATCTGCATACCCAATACAGGTAACTACTTCAAGGATATAATTTACAAATTAAGGTTTTAGTTGCAAAAAAACTTGATTAAATACTAACAGAATTTTGTTTCAAAGATGCTTCAGATATAATAATACCTTTGAAACAAAAGTTGATAACAGCCATGGGAGAGTAGTGATGTGCTGTCCATGGCTATACTTTTTTTTTTTAGCCCTTCAGAAGGTGATAGTTAATATTTTTCACTGATGGATTATATTTGAATTTAGTATTTATAGCAGTTCTATTTTACTTAGGGGAAATCATCATTTTCTCATATACTCTTGCACTCAAGTTATTCCTCCCAATTTGGTTATCTGTACATATTTATAAAATTGTCATTCAAGTGTTTAACCGTCACTCTTAACAGTCAATCTCTTTTACCTGTCACCTCAAAAATCCATAATTCACTATTTTTTACTTCAGGTTTCTACTGTGCAGTTTTTAAATAATACACGGTGTATATATTAGCATGTATTTAATTAAAATTATACGAGGCCTAGGTGTATTTCATGTGTACTCTGTGGCATTTACAAAATTCTTGGATTATCCAAACTGTAGTGGTTCATAAATGAATTTCAGTTATTTATCGTAAGTTTCGATCCCACAGGTGACTGTTAAAAGAATTTTTACTGAACTTAACATTTTTGAATTTCTACATCATAACATGTATCTTGAAACCAAGTTTGAGACCTAGAAGAAGAAGTAGAGCACCTCCCAATCACAGACCTTGACTCCCAATTGGTTCAAGTGGCCAATCCCAGGTTCATCATGACACCTATTATAATGTGTTCTTTGTACTCCGGGGCACAAAGGCGTACTCATCAATTACACATGCCTACAATGACTTTGCAAGGCTCTGTCAACAGACTGTACAACAGGTCTTGAAACTGCGAAGGAGAAACACATCACGCATTTCTATCAAGTTTGTGGAAGCAAAATGAAACAGATGTTTAGTCAAATAATTCTTGCTAAATTTCAACTAGTCATCAAGAAAATTCATGTGCTCATTAAAATGAGTTTTCAACATGACAACTTTAGGGTAACTGAAATTGAAAATCAATCCTGAGCAAAGCATTGGATTGATTGGGAAGTTGGTGCTATTTCTCTTGAACAGATTTAATGACTAATGTTATCTGTTGAAAAATACTGTAGAAGATCTTTTTCGAGAAGATATACTTAGAATGCTTGTCTTTTATTATGTTAACACAAGGCGTGGTAGAAGAAATAACTGTCTTAACTAAGACTAGAAAAAAGGGTTGCTTCGTGGACTGAAACTTAGCGATAGAGGTCTTAGAGATGAAGAAGTGAATAGCAAATATATGGTGAAATAAACATTCATTTTTAATCTTTAGAAGCTTAAAGGTAAAGAAATTATTCAAATACTTTTTGCCTTGCTTGAAAACATTTCAAATGTAGTTGATTAAATGGCAGATTGAAATCCAGTATGCGTTAGGATTTGCTATACTTTTTTTAGGTGAATAAGTCTTTTTAAACGTCATGTTAAGTTAACGTCATCGTCATAGTCAAAGCCGAGTCTTCATAAATTAGTCTTTGTGAGGTCCAATAAAGTAAAAATGCACTTTGAGAACCATTCAAAATATGAACTTGATAGAACAAGTAATTCTTCAAAGAACAACGCAAATAAATAACTTAAAGTGCAAAGAAACATCTTGTCTACTAGAATAAGTAGCATACACTATATTCACATAGCGTACAAGTTTTAAGGATACAAATTAATGAGGTGAAACACCAAAATAAGATATTTTTAAAGCAACTAAGTTTAAATTATAATTTTTATGTACATAAATTACTGTTTTTTAAACAATTGGAGACCTTAAAGGTTCTTTCTGAATTAGGAATATAGATAAAAATTAATCAAATAAACTTACGAGATTTATCTAAATGTTTGTTGTTTTGGCCCCACTTTAGCAAGTTGGAGTTCCTCATGGCAGACTTCTTGAACCCCTGAAACAGAAAGTACCTTTAAAACAGTGGTACTTTTACTTTTTTAATTGAAGTGGCGACCATACAAAGTAGGTATTTTAAGCCAAGTATGAATTGAGATCAGTGTAGTATGAGTGGTGCGATCTTGTAGTCTTGTTTGTGACTAAGGCCGACATATTGCTTAGACACAGCTGTTAATTAATAGCCCATACAGCTAATGGCAACTAAGAGACCTACAGTAATAAACTCAAAATATCTCACCGATGTATCAGAGGAATCTATGAATGACAGTTGAACACTAACGTAAACATTACAAAAAGTGAAAGAAATTACGTTGCTGAATAGCAATTTAGTGACCACAAGTAATCACACGTGAACCTGCAATCCTGCAATCCAAGTTGCAAGTTACGCAAGTGGCTGCGGCATTCCCTAGCAGGACTTAGATAGCATCCATTGTCAGGAGTTGGGAAATCCTCAATGTTTAGCACTTGCAGTTGTTCCATGTTTCTTTTTTTATTTATAAATTCCAGAATTTCCACATAAATTCACAGTGGGAGTTGTTTTTTTTTTTTTATAATTTTTACAGTAAAGTCTTAGTTCCATAAAAATAATATTCCTCCATGTAAAGATGAGTTAGATGATGACTTTTTTTCAATTACTTTACTCATTATAAGTCATAAACGATATTTCATAACGTGAAACTCCCTAGCTGCAGCAAAACTGCATACAAGTTAAGTTCCAGATTCCAACTGCTGTGATGAAATTGTGTCTAGAGGTTAAAAAAGGTTTATAGTTAGTCGCACACCAATAAAGAAACTTCACTCAAATATAGGTTTGCTGTATCGTAGATTTTATATCTATTCTACAGGACCTCCCTACTAATAATTGTCAAATGGGCTGGTATACACTCATTCCATTAGATGTCCCTTTACGCTTATAACTTTATAAGCATAACAAACATGATAACAAATTTGACATATCGAATGGATTTGAAATTCACCTGCCTAGAAGGGGTGGTTTGGAAGGTGTGTATGGAACTGTTTTCATGGTCGTTCTATAAAAACACTATTGTAGTATTTCAATCCAAATGTTTTCGGCCAAAGATTGTTTAAGTACTAAATGATGATTGGTGGAATTTGAACAAACACAATAAGAATATAGTTTTTGGCAAGTTTTCTATATTATGTGCAACCAATTTTTATATTATGTGTAATCATCTTCATTAGGGTGTTAACAATTTAAGAGAATTCATCTCATGGTAATTTACAAAATTTAATCGATAACAAAAATGTTTCAACAATCCAACAACACAAACAACAAAAAATAACAAATAACACAACAACAACAATAACAATAACAATAACACAAAGGAAAAATGCAGGAGTTAAATGGTAAATTTTATCAGTGGAGTTTATGTTCATGTGTTATTGTTTTTTAAACATTTAAAATATGATTAAGTGTTAATACATCTAACCAAAATATTCTTTGCTTGCCGATTTGTATGATTATTTATTTATTTACATTTTACCAGTATGTTTGGAGGAATAACTATGACTGATGTTCCTAAGAGTACCATAATAGGTATACTTTACAAAGTAAGTTAGTAGGTTAATTTTTTATTGGGTTATTTTTTATATTTTATTAGATGATTGGAGGCATAACTATGACTGAGTTTGCAATGAGTGTGTCAGTAAGGTGGAGTGTCAAGGTTGTAGCCCCAAGTGCCTACTAGTAGTGCCAAGTGCCAAGTGCCTGAGAGTGTTGTGGTAGTGTACATGCGCTGCTGTGTGTGTGTATGTTGGTGTGCGCGGTGCAAGCCGACCTTGGTACCGGTACCAGCTGGAGACGTCACCTACTGCATCTTCCACATTCACGTGGCCTCCCCGCTCAACCACAACAAAACATGGAACCAACTGTAATCTGCCATATCGAGTACTTACACTATTACATGCTTAGAATGCACGTGAACTAAACTCTGGTGGGACATAAAACTATCTCTAAAACTATTATAGACATACTGCCATTTTTTTTTTCAAGATGACATTTTTGTACTTATCACATTACCGGTACATACAGTATTTTTATATGAATGAACGAGTATTGCAGTCTCGTGTATCATAAACCTATCTCTATATAGGTACTGCCATTGATTAAATTATATTATATAAATATTTAATTTTGAAAACTTACTAAAAACATAAAAAAATTATATATACTGTAATATTTCAAAATTAAGTTCTTGTAACTTTCGCATTACTTACTTTCACTTAAATGATCTTGAATATTTTCGTGTGACATAACTATCTCTAAAAACTAAATAAAAAACTAGAAAAGTTAAATTTATTTTAATTTTGGCTACCAATCAAAATTCATTCAAACTATTAATAGCAAAACAAATAACGTTAAAACTCACCAACGTTTTATTTGACCGAGATAGAACCAAGTAAAAACTGAGGACGTGTTCTGCTCAGAAAATCCAAAATCGGTACTTTTCAATTATTTCGACCCTACTACTGTATTTTACAGCATATGTTTGCTGAGGTTGGGTAATACATTTATGACAAAAAGTACATAACTAAGAGTAATCTCTATAAACTATGCAGGTACATTTAAATCATCTAGATCCGTATACTATATGCTATGAACAATGCCTTACTTTAAATGACCAAACGTAAATAATGGAACCACCAATATGGTTTAAATAATAGATAAGTACAGTACCGATTTTAGATTTTGCGAACATGCACCAAAATCACGCATGATCTTTTCATAATTTTCTCTATTAGTCACTGGATGCAGATGTTTAATTAATCCACGATAGTTTTTACAGATATATTACCGTTGTCTAAATATTACGTTAAATTTCGTTTAGCCTAACACGTAATCATTAGTATTTTAGACTATGGATTATTTTCACCAAGTACGGGTGACTTAAGATATTAAATGATCTACTGGTGTTTGATTCTTTTTAGTCAGTTCAGGTAACTTCGATTGTAAAAACCTCATGGCCATGTTTTGAATGAGTAATCCCACCATACGATTGAACGTTATGCTACACGAGAGCAAAAAGGCAAACATAATTATGTGGCAACAATATAGTTTCTGGTATTGGAAGTAAAAATATTAGTATAATGTGGATCTCTCGTTCTTACAAATTAATTTTAATAAATCTATATGTTTAATCTTTATTTGATTTTTATACATGCAAGCTTAAATTACGTTTGTTGACAGAAGCCAAAGTTTTTTTTTTATTTTAATATGCAGCTCTTTTAATATATTAAAATAAAGTTTAAAAGGTAAAACTAAATCTTTAATATATTTGTAATAGTGTAATTTATTAGTAAAAAATTAAAATGACGAATGAGAGGCGGATTGGCAGTTATCAACTGTCAAAAGATTGTTTCAGCTGTGTTAATTAATTGGGTTTGCTTATTTCTAGCATGTTAATCACAGTTTAATTGATAAACATTCGAATACAATAATGTATGCATGCTCGTAGGTTCGTACAATCAACACATTGTAAACGTTTCTGTGAAAATACCTAAATGTATGAAGTAAACCTTAAAGATACCGTTAAATTTAAGGTTATGGTATTTTCAGGCTTGTTCGGACTAGGTAAAGTTAGAAATGTTGACAGGGTTAGCAGCAAAATGGAGTTGATTATATAACTTTCTCTTAAGGAAAGCTCTACACGTCCTGCGTTGATCGTCCAGTAACGCGAAGATAAGCCATGACGGTAACATCTAACCTCTGAGTAACCTTCCTGGCAGAGTGATGGCGCAGCCGCAGGACACCAAGTTATACTGCAGTATAGTAACACCGTAACACCCTACATGTCGTGTGTATATTTATATATATATATATATATTTTTTTTTATTGCATGAACATTGCAACTTCAGATTGATATAGAAAAAATAAACGGTATCAGCATTCGGCGCAGGAAAACAAGTTATACTGTAGTATAGTAATACCCTACATGTCGTGTGTTTTTATATATATATATATATATATTTATTTATTTATTGCATTAACATTGCAACTTCAGATTGATATAGAAAAAAAACAACTGTATCAGCATTCAGCAATCTAACACTAATATCGTTCATGTTAGCCCAGAACAGTGAAAATTCAGTTCCAAGCAAGAAAAATTCAAAACATTTTGACCACTTAAACGAGTTATTTTATTAATTTTCCTATACATTTTTCGACTTTTTTAAAATTAAAACTCATCGCAACTGGAGTCTACGAAGAGGTAGACCTTTTCCGTGGTTAAGAAGGGAGTTTTTTTTACATTTTTGTTCACTTTAACTATACAGTATATAATATTATTTGTTTCCGTGGTTAAGAAGGGAGTATTTTTACATTTTTGTTCACTTTAATTATACAGTATATAGTATTTGTTATTTATATAGTAATGTAGTAATTTTTACAGCAATGGGGGGTTGTGCCATTTTGTTAAGAGTCAAAAGGACAACATGCTAAATTTTCATAAAAATCGGTCCAGCCATTTTTGTGAAAATTCACAACGAACTTAAGTGACGGTTAAACACATCTTCTAAGGGCTACTTTGTCAAAGTGGTATCCAACCTCTTGTTTTAGTATATGTTTTTCAACAAAGCCACATACTTTACGTTTAGTTACTTACTTGCGAAATAGCTAAGAAAACCTTGAACAGGAAAAGAAAGATATGTTGTTTCCTAGAAGCAACATACTAAGAGTGAATTTACAAGTATACAATCGGTCAGACCGGTTTTTCACTGTCGAAATTCACAATCGCGGCGCAACTACGCATCTTGAGATACTAATGCGCAGAAATGACAGCGGCGCAGATCTGCGCGTAAATGATTACATCACGGACTGATCTACAAATCAACTACGGATCTGTAGAATTAAAAGTGGGCAGGTATTCTAGCTGGTAAAAAACATCATCATTTAAAAATCAATGTTATCATCGTTATGTCATTTTTTATCACATTCTTGTCACTGTATTACTTGTTGTGATTTACTGTGTTAATATTTT